TTTAGCCCTGTGACTGCCTCCTGCCTCCCAGCCTCGCCCTCAACAATAAGCCCAGACGGACGTAGGAGATCGTTCAGCGCCGCGTCCTGGTTCCCCCGTCTTGATGTATAGTTCAGAGTACAATGCACAAGGATCGCTGTACGCACAACTAGAGAGTTTACGTCAGCTGATGGTGCCCGAGATAATTGGGGTGCATGTTCCTGGGGAGATATAGATTGTGAAACAGGATAAAAGCGGGGTAGATAGGGGTATAGGAAAGAGAAAATGAGACGGAGGGAGAAAGAGAGAGGAGAGAGAGAGGAGAAAAGAGATAGGTGTGTGTGTGTGTGTGTGTGTGTGTGTGTATGTGTGTGTGTATGTGTGTGTGTGTGTGTGTGTGTGTGTGTGTGTGTGTGTGTGTGTGTGTGTGTGTGTGTGTGTGTGTGTGTGTGTGTGTGTGTGTGTGTGTGAAAGAGAGAGAGAGAGAGAGAGAGAGAGAGAGAGAGAGAGAGAGAGAGAGAGAGAGAGAGAGAGAGAGAGAGAGAGAGAGAGAGAGAGAGAGAGAGAGAGAGAGAGAAGAGAGAGAGAGAGAGAGAGAGAACTGACAGGAATAGAGACAGATACACAGAGACAAAAAAAGGAGAGGAGAAAAAAAAACAAGGAGAGAAGAAAAAAATAACAAGAAAGAAAAGAGAGGAGAGAGGAGAGAGAGACTGTCAATCCAAACTTCCCCAAGTTATCAAAACTCATCTCCGTACCAGACAATATCTCAGGTTATTCCGAAGCAACGCACGACGCACGCACGCACACACAAACACACACACACAACGCGAGAGAGCACCGACACCACCCCTATATTGTGTGACATTCAGACACCTTAAGAAAAACGCATACACGATCAGATCTCCCGGCTGGATGTTGTCAACTCCCCTGACAATACCAAAGAGAAAGATCACTCATAAGACATTTAATAAGCATTGTTCAACACCTGGACAATACTAACCCACGTAAAGCTCTTGCCAAACATGTTCACCTACAATGACCTGGGGGTCTTGAGTCTCTGCATATCATACATGCACATTAGCTATTTAGATGTACCCAAGCACGTGTACAGACACTTGTACGTCTAAACAATCCAGTACTTCTAGTATACCTGTAAGGAATGTGCCTGTGTACATACATTTGTACTCTTGGTAACTCAGCACTTGTAACACCACATTCATAGACCGTGATATATCTTATATAAGCTGTGGACGCTCAAAATGATGGTTAAAAATAGAATAAGATTTTCTAGATTTTTTTTTAGATTTAGATTTCTTCATGTTTACCTGAATTATCGATGATTGTTTTGCGAGAACTGTAGAATTACGTAAGTTGCCTTGTTATCAACAAAACTTTATATAATAAAATGTTTATATAATCTTTTTATCACCATCATCATCATCCTTTTTCATTTTCATCATCATCAGCATTACCATCATTATTATCTTTTCTACTATCAATATTATTATAACTATCATCATCATCAATATTACAATCATCATGATTATCATTATCATTATCATTATCCGCATTATTATTATTATTATTGTTATTATTATTATTATTATTTTTATTATCATTATTACTATAATAATTATCATTATCAATCGCTATGATTACTAATACTATTATTACCATATGTAGTAACTGTATACTGCTACCATAATCATCAACAGTATCATTATTATTATCATTATCCTCATTATTATTACTATTATTATTTTGATCATTATCATTGTCAATATTAATTTTATCATTATCAGTCCCAATCTCATTATTTTTACTATTATTATTATCATTATCATTATTATGATGATGATCATCATTATTGTTATCATCACCATTGTCATCATTATTGTAATTATCATTGATATTATTATTACAACTGAAAAGGGATGAAAGAAGATGAATATCTTCTCAGTACAAGAGATGTATCTAGCCTTCGTCAGAATGTTTTTTTCTGACGAAAATATATTTGAATACGGTTCGCCATTTTAATTATTACCATTATAACCATCATTACTGTTATAATCACCATTGTTATTATGATCATTATCATTATCATTACAATCATAATCATCATTAACATCATTATTACCATTACTACCGTTACTATATATCACTAATATTCTCACAATAATAATACCGATAACAATAACCAACACCTACTAATCTACTAATCAATAATTAATTAATGAGTGTGGGTGTGAGTGTGAGTGTGAGTGGGTGTGAATGTGAGTGTGAGTGTGAGTGTGAGTGTAAGTGTGAGTCGTGAGTTAGTGATTGATTGATTGAGTGAGTGGGTGAGTGAGTGAGTGAGTGAGTGAGTGAGTGAGTGAGTGAGTGAGTGAGTGAGTGAGTGAGTGAGTGAGTGAGTGAGTGAGTGAGTGAGTGTGTGCGTGTGCTTGCGTCCGTGTGTGCGTTCCCATGCCGCTCAAGTACAACTAAATTCCCATACTCTACTAATATACTTATAAAACACGAAAAATTCCAGGAAAATATACTCCACAAGACAAGCCCCCTTTAATTTTGAAGATTTTTAACTAATAAGTAATAATAGATAGTGCTCATTGCGAATGTCCAAAGTCAATGTTATTTATTTAATGTTATTTAATCAAGAGATTGAGAAAAAAGGAATAATCGCTTCCTTAAAAGTGTGATGATGCCAACAGCAACAATGATAACAATAATAATAATATAAATGATAATGATAATGATAATGATGAGGATGATGATAATGATAATAATAATAGCACTAATAATAATAACAAGAACAAGAACCGCAACATTAATAGCAATACCGAATGTAAAGAACGAAATCTAACAATTATTTATCTTTAAATGAGATGGAAATTATTAATTACTTAATTAATCATAAACGAAAAAAAAGTCTTTGAAGAAACCTTTTCCTCCAGTCTCTTAGATTGCAACTCATGCATAATTGATCGAGTTGCCAATTTCAACTCAGACTGAGGAAAGATAATTATCACTCTAATTAGAATCGATCAATCGACTTCTTCAGGATCCTACAGACATCCTTCCTCTCCACCCTCACCATCCTTTCTCCCCCCCCCCCTATATTGGAAAACGACACTCAGACACTCAACAGAATCGAAAACCAAGACGTGTTTCATGCACTCGGTATGGTGTGCAGGATTTTAGTTTTTTTTCCTTCATCTCCCTCTTTTTTTCCGAATTCTGGTTAGATGAGAACTTTGGTTTCGTATCATTTTGCTTACAATGAAAAAGAATCTATTTCCTGTCAATTTCCTTTCACGTCCCTTTCTGTGCACATGCATTTGTACACAGGCTTTCTCCTTTCCCTTCTACTTTCTAATGAGTTAGAATCTTACCTCACCCCCCCCCTTCCTCTGTAAAATAGGAGGTTGGCATCTTGATCTTTCTGCTTTAAAGGAACGAAATTCACTACTTTCTATACATTTCCTATGTAGCTAACCCCTCAGTAGATTCGAATGTTGGTTTTCTGGTCTCATTTGCTTCGAATTAGCTACAATCTATTTCTATCTATTCTTCTTGTCCAACCCTCTTCGGTAGATCAGAATTTTGATATCTCGATCCTTCTACTTCGAATGAACAAAAATCCTCTTCTTCCTATCTCTTTCCTATCACTCCCCCCTCCCCCCCTCGACAGATTAGAACGGTGGGATCTCGTTCCTTCTTCAGAAAAAAAAAAAAAACAGAATTTACTCCTTTCCATCTATTTCTTCCTACCTTCATCCTCGCTGTCGATAGATTATCATTTAGACCTCCTGACTCGCTCTACTGAAGATGACCTAAAATCTACGCATTTCTATCTATTTTTTGCTTGCCTCCACCACCTCACCCCCCCCCCCCCCCCGACTTAACTCCACCTCCTCTTCCTATCAGCATTTAAACCACTTATCTTTAATATCTTGTCGTGAGTGGAATATTTACGACGACACATCAGAAGGTGAATAGGAGAAACGTGCAAGTAATGCAATTTAGGAAAGAATTAATCATAACTAAACTGGAGTAGAAAAGAATAATGGAAAAAAAACAAAACAATAATGATAATATCAATAATAATAGTAGTAGTAATAATAATAATAATAGTAACAACAATAACGATAATAGCAGAAGTAATAATTATAATAACAATAGAATGAATAAACAGATAGATAGACAAATCAACAAGTAAACACAAATAACCAAATAAAAGAAATTAGAGACCCCCAAAACGAGGGAAATTCACACAAAAAAAGAGAGGGGGAGGGGGTGGAAATACCACAAAATAGATAAATGAGATTATTCGCTCACCCCCACTCCCTACACCCACCCTCCCCCTCTCTTATTGTGATCTGGGGTGGTTATTCCCCGCATTAAACATATTTCATGTCACTTAATGCCGATCTTCTCATGCAATTGTCGTCCCTATGAGCACGCACATGACAGGAGAAATTCAGGTCCATATCTGCATGACAGTTATCTGTGAAGGGCTGTCCGTTAGAGGCAACACGCAGGCACATGTGTCGTAGATGTTCGTGGTCGCCGGGAGAGGGGCGTTACGCAAAGATCGGCGTCACAGTTTATCCGTCACGCCGTAGAAAGGCTGGCGGTGACGGTGACGGCGATGCGACGGTGTTACGAGGGCGTCTGGAGTCGTTTTGTTTCTAATTTGAAGAGGGAATGGTGGTGTCATGCTTTTCTTTCGTTTACTTTTTTATTTCCATGGTCTCTCTGTCTCTCTCATTTACTCTCTCTCTCTCACTTTTTTTTTCTCTCTTTTTTTTTGATAAGAGCGTCAGGAGGTGATTGTACCGAAAATGATCGGGGAAAAAAGCCCGCCTAATCAGGTCACCAGTAACCAAATACCGACTAACACAAGCATATCACTTAAAATAATTTTCATAACTGATAAAAATATTGCAAACAGACATAAACATATGAGTAAAACAGGGCAAGCACAAACAATGCAAACAAATGTACATGTAAAGTAC